TTAAGATTAAGATATATAAGTAGCACTCCACTGTCCTCCCGGTTATTCATCGATTGGGCACTAGTAACGTCTCCATTGTGAGACTTGTTGTTACTGGGTGTTTTCTGGTGCTCCTGCTGCAGCTGCTGCTGTTGCTGGCTTATTCAATCCCAGCATATGCCTAGGCACCCACTGGGGTCCCAGATCTGGAACTTGAAGGTGAACCTCTGTTATTGAGCTTTGCCTGTGCAGGGAGATGGCTTCGGACAAGTCATTAAAAGCATTTCCAAGATGCACCGAAGTCAATGGAGAGCAGTCACTGAGAATGGGGTGGGGAGACACAGGGGTGCAGGGGTAGTGTTCCCAGCTCTGCTGGTCTTGAAGATGAACTCTGAGGGTAGGAGGAAAGGAACCAGCTAGGAGCAGCTGGTGCGTGAGTGCACTCTGGGCAGAATGGCTGGAAACAACCAAGCACTTTCCAAAAGATGCCCAGCCAGAGGGAGAGAGGGAGAAAGAGAGAGAGAGAGAGAGAGAGAGAGAGAGAGAGAGAGAGAGAGAGAGAGAGAGAGAGAGAGAGTGCTCTTATGCTCTTGAGGGAAGAAACTAAGCTTATCCTTCCTAAGCCATTTAGCTGTACTGCAGCTTAGGTGCAAAGCTGATTGCCATGAATTACAAAGGAAGACAGATCCCACCAACTCTGGAACTGCAGTCAGAGCTGAGTCAGGCCGAAGCTATCGCAGTGCAACAGACCAACCACCCTGGAGCCAACGGGCTTCTACTGCCCACAACGGGCTACTTCCCTCTCTACACAGCTTCTCCAGGACCTCCTCAGAGAGTCAGTCTGCAGGGTGCCAGCACCTAGGGCGAGCCCTGATGGTGGCAAGAACCAGACGTCCCTGCCGTTGGAATTAGGAACACAGAAGTCTAGAAGAAAAGTCTAGAAGAGTAGGAAGGGGACAGACACCCCACAGGGGTCGGCATGGATCCAGATAGACAGTAAGAGGGAAACCAAAGCAGGAAATCTGGGATCTTATGGAGAGGGAAGGGGTCCTCCTCTGCACCTGGTCAGTTCCCCCAGGACAGATCTGATGGGGGGCAGGGAAATGGGGGCCCCATCTGCACCTGGCCTCCGCCTTGGCCAGTGCCTCCCAGCTCCTAAGGGACCACAGGGCCAGGGCGGGCAGTGAAGTGGACAACCAGGGTGGCACCCAGCAGGTGAGCTGTGGTCAGGGCTGCTCGCTCTTCTCTCTGGACACAGGAGCAGGGGTCCAAGTTGGGAATTCAAGAAGAAAGAACCTTGACAAAGCTTTTCAGTGGGGTGGGGGTGGGGGCCAGAAGTCATCTTTGGGACACAGCCGCGTGACTCAGGCCGCCTTGGAGCCGCTCTGAGAACGCAGAAACTTTCCACAAGAGGCGTCCATGGCTTTACAAGTCCTTGTTCCAAAAAAACAAAGAAAGGTTTTATCTTTAAATCTGAAGTTGTGACTAGTTTGCCTGGGTCTGCCCTGGTGAGAAGATGGAAATTTACTAGCCAGATGGCAACCTTTGCACGGTGGTGAAAGGGGTCTCTCGGGAACCTCAGGCACACAGCACGGGAGTCTACAGGCTCCTCCTCCAGGGAGACCTCCAGGCTTGGGAACCTGGGGAGAGCGAGCAGTAGGGCAGAGAGAGGGCAGGAGCATCTCCCTGGTGGTATCACGTTCTGAAAACTTCTTTCAAACCATGAAAAGGGGGGACTGGAGCGATAGCACAGCGGGTAGGGCATCTGCCTTGCTTGAGGCCGACCAGGGCTCAATTCCCAGCATCCGTATGGTCCCCTGAGCACCTCCAGGAGGACTTCCCGAGTGCAGAGCCAGGAATAACCCCTGAGCATCGCCGGGTGTGACCCAAAAAGAAAAGAAAAACACAAAAAGGGCCCAGAGCAATAGTACAGCATGTAGGGCATTTGCCTTACACATAGCAGGCAGGCATTCAATCCCAGCATCCCTGGTTCCCCAAGCTCCTCCAGTAATTCCTGAGTGTAGACCCAGGAGTAACCCCTGAGCAGCACTGGGTGTGACCCCAAAACCCAAAAATAATTTCATTAAAAAAAAACATAAAATACTCCAAGGTTCTGTTTGAAAACCCTGAATATAGCAACCTTTTATTATGAACACATGGAACATGGGACTTCTTGGCTCCCTCACCTGGGACCCACTTTTTGCGTCTCCTCTGCCTTTTCATTCATTCCCTTCCCTCTGGGGAGGAGAGAAGTCACCCCACACTTTGGTTCGCAGCTGAGAGCAGGGTCAGCTGCTGTATGTGGCACTGGTGAGGACCGAACCTGCCGTCTTGCATCTGTAAAGCAGGACTCTTGCCGCTGAGCCAGCAGCTTACAAGCTTTACGCATCGGACCGAGTGAAATGCCATGAGAAGCCAACTTCCCACAACAGGTACAGGTGTGTGGTTCTGTCAAAGGAAGAACACTGAAACTTAGGTTATTTAAAATTTACAGGATTGGAGCTAGAGCGAAAGCACAGTGGGTAGGGCGTTTGCCTTGCATGTGGCTCACCCAGGTTCGATCCCCAGCATCCCACAGAGTCCCTCGAGCACCACCAAGAGAAATTCCTGAGTGTAGAGCCAGGAATAACCCCTGTGCATTGCCAGGTGTGACCCAAAAAGCCAAAAAATTAAAAAAAATTCTGGGACTGGGGAGATTGCTCCAAAGCCTGGAGCACATGACCATTGAGGGTCCCCGTTCAAGCCCTAGCACCCCCGACCTTCCCGAACACCACAGAATGCAGTCTGCGGGGCGGGGTGTGGGGGCAACACACCGAGGATGCCCCTTCCCCCCAACAAACAGATCTGGGGGCAGAGAAAAATTAGACACATCTGGGCTGGAACAATAGCACAGCGGGTAGGGGGTTTGCCTTGCACGTGGCCAACCCGGGTTCAATCCCTAGCATCCCGTATGGTCTCCTGAGCACCTCCAGGAGGAATTCCTGAGTATAAAGCCAGGAGCAACCCCTGATCCCTGACGGGTGTGACCCCCCCCAAGAAAAGAGAGGCACATCTACTGGGAATGACCCCACAGCAGTGATGCGACCCATGTGTCTCTCCTTCCTGGGTGAGTCACAGGCTGAGGTTCCTGCCCACAATCCTGCCCTGTGCTGTTCACCCCTGGAAGGGCGCTTGATTGCTGCAGTTGGTCTAGGTTCCAGCCCTGGTACCCCCATATGGGTCCCGGAACCCTGCCAGGAGCAATCCCTGAGTGCAGAGCCAAGACTGTGACCACAAAACAAGCCAATAAGATACTGACAACTCTTCGCGGCTCTCCATGGTGGAGCAACTTGGGACCAAAGCCACCAGTGTTTGTCCCACTTTGCAGTGGCCGGAATGATCTCCAGAACGCAAACAGCCTTCTTTTGGGGGGTGGAGGGGGGAGAGATTGCTCAAAGGGTGGGAGTAACATGTAGGGCTCTGCGTGTAGAAGCTCTGGGTTTGAGCCTCCAGCAGGGCACGTCCCCCACCACCCCTACCCTGCAGGAACAGTGACCTGGAACACCAAAAGTGTGGTTAGCCTGAGGCAGCAACGGTTTTAAACTTTCATTTTTATTATAATTTTGGGTTTGAGGCCAGACCCAGTCAGTGGTGCTCAGGCAGGGGTGACTCACGGCATTCATTCGGGGCACCAGATGGAAGGATGGGGAGCATATGGGGGGAGCATATGGGGGTCAGAATGCAGGTCTAGGCCGAATTGATAGCACAGTGGGGAGGGCATTTGCCTTGCATGCAGCAGACCCTGATTCGATCCCTGGCATCCCATATGGTCCCCCGATCACCGCCAGGAATAATTCCTGAGTGCAGAGCCAGGAGTAACCCCTGAACATCCTGAGCATCACTGGGTGTGACCCACAAATCACAAATCATCCTGTTAATTGTCGATTGCCTCGAGCAGGCCTCAGTAACGTCTCCTTCATCCCAGCCCTGAGATTATATTCAAGGCTCTTTAGGAGAATGAGACCCATCATTGTTACTGGTATTTGGCATATTGGGTACGACACAGGGAGTTTGCCAGACTCTGCCATGTGGACAGGCTACATTCGGTAGCCTGCCAGTTTGTCCAAAGTAGGAATGAGATGTCATAATAGGGTGTGACCCAAAAACGAAAAAAGAAAAAGCAGGCCTAAACTTTTCAAAGACCCCACCTTTTGGCATCCCTGGAAATTCTCAAATGCCTTCACCCCTGTACTCCAGCCCCAGCAAAAAAATAGTAAAAAATAAAATAAAATAAAAAGGGGGAAAAAAGGGACAATCCTTCCTTCCTCTCAGGCTCACCCCTGCTCCCGTGCCTGTACTGGGATGTGCTGGGGACCCTGGGTGCAGGGAACCACACTGGCTCTGGGACGGCACAGAACCGGCTGGCGAGTGAGGTGCAGAGTCACAACTGTGCTCACCACACGCGCCCTCTCTTGCCTGGGACCCACTGCTGCTGCCCAGAGGTATCCTTTTGCGGTGCTGGTGCTGACTAGCCCTGGGCAGATGCTCTAGGCCACTGAGTCCCCCGGCCCTCAGTCTGAACTTTTCAGAGACACCCACCTTCCTGCACTCCCGAAAATCCTCAGCACCCTGAAACTTCTGCAGGACTCAGATGCCCAGGGGGCGATGGTACCCAGATGCCTTTTGGGGCAACTGGACATTTCCAAGGCCTGGTGTCCCTGCTTTGCATGCCAAAGGCCTCAGGTTGGGTCCCGCCAACCCCCACCTGGTCTCCTGTGCTCCCCCCCACCCAAGAGCGACCCCTGCACACAGAGCCAGGTGGACCCCCCAATGTGAAACAAAACAAAAGGATGTATCTCCGGGTTATACAGCAGCCACACCTAGGAATCTAAAACGAGCACCCCCCCACCCATAACCAGTTATCTACAAGGACTCTGATCAATACTTAGGAGACAAGCAAAATAATAATAAAAAAATAATAATACACGAAGACAAAAAAATTTTTTAAAAGGCAAACTTCATTAAATACCAGGCAGAGTGACCAAATTCAGGACGCCGAGTGCAAATCCCCCAATCCGGGGGGAATGAGCTTTCAGAAGGAGAGCTGTGTTGGGCCAGGCCGGGAGCTGGCCAGTGACAGCCGGGGTGGGCTTAGGTGTGGGGGTCTCGCACGCTTCTGCGACGGAGCGCGCCCCCTGCCAGCGGTCCCCCTGCACCGGCCCGACTTTCCTTGCAGGGCGTGTCGCCGCGTCCCTGCCGTCTACATCCTCCCATAGCTGAGCCAAGGACCTAGCGATGCGCAGGCCAGGCCGGAGGAGGCGCGCCCTCCGCGCGGGGCTGCCGTCAGTCCCCCGCCTGCCCCCGCAGCTGCTCCACCGTCCGTAGCAGGGCCGCGCGCTCCAGCTCCAGCGCCAGCGCCTCCTGCTTCAGCTTGCTCTCGCTGGCCTGCAGCTTCTGGACCGCCGCCTCCAGGCTCTGGATCCTGCTGTTGGCCACCTGCAAAGAAAGGCAGGAGATGCAGGAGATGCGGGAGATACGGGAGGGAGGGAGACGCAGGAGTGTCACAGCGCAGGGCGGGCAGGCGCACAGGAAGGCCACACCCCCCAGCTCCCCTGCAGGGCGCCAGCGCCCAGCGCGGGGGACAGGGTACTGTCCCGTGTCTTGGGGGGGTCGGTGAGGTTCTGCATGGGCGGCAGCTGAGCAGACCCTGCAGCTACACCTGGGAAATAAGCCGGGTTTATAAACCAGCTAGCTCCTCTGTCCCCTACACAAGGGCGCCCCACACGGCAGGCTGAGTCAGCCTGAGCCTCTTCGCAGTGTGAAAAGTGGGGTCTCCAGCAGGAGGGAAAGCCTTCGTGCACAGGCTGCCCCAGGAACACCCCAGGCAATGTCGGGGGAGGGGTGGGGATGGGTCTTTCCAGAAGAGTGCTACCCCTGGAATATTTCCTGAGCCGTGGCATGAAGCTGATGAACGCTCTTCATTCCACCCGGATGCAGGAGTCTGGGGAGCACTCGGGGGTCCTGTGCGTCCTGGACAGCAGACAAGGGCACTGGGAGGCAGCGTAAGGGGAGGAGGGGACCCTATAGGGTTGGGAGAGAGCTCAGGCTCCGAGCTGCACCCAGCTCCCCTCGACATGCCGGCCTCACCAGCAAGGAGCATGTTCTCCTCACCCACTTCTGCCCATCCTAGTCCAGATGGAAGCTTCCAGGAAGGGGGAGACTGGGCTCCTCACAAAATAACCCCCTCCTTTTTTTTTTGCAGGGGTTGTTTTGGGTCACAAGTACAGAGGGTAGGGCATTTGCCTTGCACGCATACAACCCGGGTTCGATTCCTCCACCCCTCTCGGAGAGCCCAGCAAGCTACCGAGAGTATCCCGCCTGCACGGCAGAGTCTGGCAAGCTCCCTGTGGCGTATCCAATGTGCCAAACACAGTAACAACAAATCTCACAATGGAGATGTTACTGGGCCCGCTCGAGCGAATCGATGAATAATGGGAGGACAGTGCAACAGTGCAGTGCTACCTGGCAATGCTCAGGGCCGACTCCTCGCTCTGCACTCAGGAGTCACTCCTGGCGGTATGAAGCCAGATGGCTCCAGGTTGAATATGCAAAGCACACACCCTACCCACTGTGCTCCCGCTCTGGCCACACCTGTGCTCCTAACCCAGGGCCTCCCGGATGAAGCTCCTGTGCTCCTTTCGAGTTGCTGGGTAGATTTCTGAGTCCCTTTTCCCCACCCCCAAGTCTCCATTAATAGATCTTGCTTGAGTCTTTGTTCCAGGAAGCCCGAGCCTTTGATGCCCTCGAGACCCAAAGCACACTAGCTAGCACTCAGCTCCCGGAAACCAGGGGCCTCCTCCAACGAGGCCAAGGCCAGCTGCGCCTCTCAGCAGCCTGATTGACCTGGGCAAAGGACGCCCCGCCTGCCTCCCTGGAAAGCCCTCGATACCCAGTCCAACTGGAGCGGGCAGACAAAGGCCCGCAGTGGTGGGAAAGCCGGGCCACCCAGGGCCTGGGGCGGGTCCCTAAGGGGCGGCACTGCCCCCCCCAGGAGCGGCCGGAAACAAGTGCTGTCATCCCACCTGCAGCTGCTCCAGGAGGTCCAGATTCTGCTTGCGCAAGCTGCTGTTGGCTTTCTCCAGCTTGCCCATTCTTTGGTTGTCGCTGAGCGGGGAGGAGTCGATCAGCTCTTCCTGAAGCACGTGGTACTCAACCTCATACGCTTGCAACTGCTTGGAGATGTCCATCTCGAACACCTGCCGATACATAGAACTCACCAGGGACAGGAAACTAGAAAACGGGCCAGCGGGAGGTAGAACAGGGCTTCCGGGGCTTGTCTTGCATGTGGCACTGCTCGGTCTGCTGAGCATCACCACCAGGTAGGGACCTCGAGGGCCCCTGAGCAACAGTGGGGTGGACCCAGTAATCCCCAGCACCTCAGCACCCTGCAGCACTACATCCTCGGACCCTTGCACTGAACCACCAGCCTAGTCGGCTGAGTATCACGGGGTACCCCCATCATCCACCAAAAGAAGAAAATGAAAACACACTCACATGGCCAATGAGCATCTCCTTCCAACACACACACACACACACACACATGAACACAGGTACACACACACGAACACACACACACAGGCTCACCCACACACACATACACATGAAAACACATGTATACATGCATGTGCAAACATGAGCACAGGCACACACATGAATACACACACAAAAATACGGGTACATGCATACGCACACACAAACAAGCACATGTGCATGCATGAACAGACACATGAGCACCCATGAGCACTCATAAACACATGAGTGTACACATGCACATGAACACATAAACAACAGGCACACATGTGCACACACAATGCTCAGTGAGCAGCCCCTAACGCCAGCACTGAGATCCCTGAGATCAACGAGAAGCTGCACGTTTCCTCGGAAGGACCGTAGGAGCACTTGGGAGCAGGAGATACCGGGGTAGCACTCACTTTTCCATGGCTCAGAGCTTCATTTTTGAGAAGCTTTAGCGACATTTATTTTTAGTGTGTATTTTCAGCACCTTTTTTTTATTCTCTCAGAAAGTTCTATGAGGTCAACTACCTCGACATGGGTCAGAGGCAGAGGCTGGGGTGGGGGGTGGGGAACCAATGCAAGACTCAGGAGCTGCCTCAGTTTCCTCACAGTTCCCCGGGGTCAGAGAGTGACCAGAGAGCACACTCACAACCCAGGCACTCGGGCTCTGCAGAAACGAGCCCCACAATCAACAAACGAGTGAACCCAATTTCAAGGAAGCATTCCAAGCAATGGAATTACTGTCAAATGCTTGAATATGTTTATGATATGTATTGTCAAACTGCTTCCCAAATGGGAACAATCACTGTACATACCATTAGCCAGCCATCCACACATGTGTGCATACGGTGTGCCTTTGGCACTGAAATTTTTCATTATGTTTATCTGGTAGGTAAAAGCATCACTTTACTCAAACCTAAATTATGCATAAAGTGAAATCCTTTCTCAGACATTTGTTTATAGACCCATCTCTGACACACATTGATGCTTGTGTGCCTGGCTCATCTGCTCTTGGAGACTTGGGGTTTGCTCTCTGCAGCCTGTGGACACTTTGTGTAACGAAGTCACTAACCCCGAGGTCTACAGAACCACACACTTACCCCCTTCCCAGCACCCTCCACTCCCTAACCCTGCCCCAAGCTGCCCCCGACTCTGCCCCAGTCTCTGTGGCGAACTAAGGGCTGAAGAGGGGAGCAGTGTGCCAGGGATTGGCAATATGGGGGCACAATGTCTGCAGTGAATTAAAAAAAAACACAATAAAACAACTAGGAGTTGGTCTGCTTTTCATTATCACCACATGCAAGCGATTGTAGACGAAGCCAGTGTGGTTCAAGATCCATGGCCTGGTTTCCTGGGATGTCACTGAGGGGTCTTTGAAAACACTGCCCACCCTCGGCAGTACACAGTACTCAAGCGGGGAAGTGGGTACGGCAGGGGAGGCGAGGAACCTCCCACGGTGGCAAGAGAGTCGCTCCCACCCCGTGACCCTGCATGTCCTCTGAGCAAAGCCGCCCCATAGGCGCCTGGTTTCCATCCTGCAGGCCAAGGGGGATTATCAGTGTGTTCACAGTGACGATCGGCCGTCGAGCGTCCCCAGCATTTGCGAGTGTGTGAACCGCCCAGGACCTTGCTAAAATGCAGATTCTGACTCAGCGGGCTGGGGTGGCTGTGGGGTCTGGGCTCACGTGTCCAGCAGAGCCCGAGGGTGGCCCCCAGAACCCTGCTGCACCTTACTCTGTCCTCCCTCACCCTCAGGAAAACCACCCCAACCAAAGGGGCAGACAAAATGGGCCCAGGGCCATGACTGAGAGGCCCCCAGTCCCACCCACATGACAGTGCGGGGGCTCAAGAAACCGCCCATCGGGCTGGAGCAATGGCACAGAAGGTAGGGCGTTTGCTTGTACGCAGCCAACCCGGGTTCGATTCCCAGCATCCCATATGTTCTCCCCCAGCACCGCCAGGAATAATTCCTGAGTGTAGAGCCAGGAGTAACCCCTGTGCAACGCTGGGTGTGAGCCAAAAGGCAAACAACAATAACAACAACAACAAAAAAAAACCCCACCCATCACTTCTGCCCAGGCACCGCCGAGGGTTCTCACATTTGGCCCCTCATGCTTCATCTCTGCAGGGGGTATGAACATCCTCTGCAGGGGAGGAGCCTAAAAGCTGGAGAGATACCGGGCAGAGCAAGGAAGACACTGGAACTGGCTCCCAGTGGCCGGCGAGGCTGTTGGCAGAGTGGTGATCTGGGCCACCTGAGCCATGTGTGCTCTTGTCCCCAGCGAATCGAGAGTCACTACACCACCCTATGGTCTGCAGCTGGAGGTGGCGCACCTGGGTTTTCTGCAGGTAAGGGTGATCCTAGTCACTATATTGTCCCCACCTGCATCTGCTCTTCCCACTGCAAAGGCAGAGACCTTCTGGTCACAGCCCCCAAGAGGAAAAAGATGCTCCTGTCTCCCCCGCATTGTAGACAGAGTGGTACCCAAACCCCGGGAAGCCCAGGGCATGCACAGTCGCTCCTGTCCACCCGCCTCGCACAAGTGTCCGCCCCCCACCCCCCTCGCCAGGACCCACACAACATGGGCAATCAGCCGATTACAGGAGACAGAGGTGGACCCTGGCCTCCGCCCCTCTGTGCAAAGTGCCAGGCATGGTTCCTCTGTCATGCCCAGAATCCCTGCCTGGGAGCAACAGGAAAATTACCTGGCCCCTAACTTGTTCCAGATTCTGGTTGATGAAGGATGCTCCGAGGGCCGGGGAAGATGGCACTGAGATAGGCCTTTGAGCACTGCTGCGTGTGATGCCCCAGACGACGGCCAAAGGCTCCCGTCACCCGCCTCCCTCACACCGTGCCTCTCCCACTCTTCCTACAATGTAAAACACACCTGAAGCAGACGAGAGAGGTGCTCAGCACCTTTCCTTTGCACAAAGGGACTTCAAAATTATTAAATCCTTATTGCTCTCCTGCAGCCCCGGCCTCCGCGCCCAGCGCCACCGACTGGACTAAGCAGGTCCCGCTGTTCGTTTCTACCCCATCGCTATGCGGGTACACGACACTGGACAGAGAACGGCAGGGCTGAGCGCGAGGCGACCCAGAGCCCTGGCAGCTGCCGGCTCTCGGGGTCCACGCAGGAACCCCTTCCAGATGGTTCTGAGCTCTCTGGCCATCTGGCCACTCCCAATGGGTTCCACCCTGTGCTGAGCAACCCTGTCCTTCACAGTCAACAACGATGACCAGATGGTTCCTTCAGACGGGCTCAAAACCAGCCCCTTCTCTTCAGCCCGGCACCTAACAGCTGGGCCCGCTGCACTCCCCGGCACTCAGTGACACTCTCACACTCATACTTTCACTCACATACTTACACTCTCACACATTCTCACATACCCTCACACACATTCACACACCCTCACAGACTCACTCACTACCACACACTCAGAAATTCTCACTCTCACAGTCACAGGCTCAGCAAACTCATACACACTCACACACTTTCACACACACACTGTCACTTATTTTCACACACACACATACTTGCTCACTCACACACTCTTGCACACCTCCCACTCTTTCACACGCCCTCACACACCTTCATATGCTCACATACTTTCCTAAACAACTGCACATACCCTCACACTTATACTCTGCCATGCACACTCACACATAGACACACAACTCACACACATACTTTTTCTTACGAATATTCATACATACACACATACACACATACAGAGCACAGACCAACCCCTCCACCATAGCTTTACCAACATTCACGTGTAGAAAATTCCAGTAATATTGTTCAGCAGAAAAATCAAATCAAAGCACTCATCTTCCTTTGATGAATAAATATATAAATGAAAAAACTTGGGCCAAGTCTCAGCCATGAGACCATGGTAGGCAGATGTACTGACTGCCACACCTACACATCCGCGGACACTTCCTGGACATTCAAACCCCAGCCCCACCCCCACAAACACACACCTACAGGCCTAGACCCAATGGCCACAGCCCTGGTCTTATATCCTACATACATCCACACAGACACAACCGGGCAGAACAACAGGCCTGCTTGTATAGGTGGTTTCTAGGGGGTTGCTTCCGGCCTTTGGAAGATGCCGAGTGACTCATACCTGGTTGATGGTCTTTTCCATCTGCACCAAGCCCAGGTTGGGGAGTGTGTTTTTAATAAAGTCCACAATGGTCTCCAGGTTTTCATGCTGCAGAATCAAGGGCTTGTGGCTTCCCAAGAGACTTAAAGCCACCTTAAATATGACCTCTGTGCCCTGAAGAAAGATCATGTCTGGGAAAACACAAAAATACATGAAGTTAATCCAAACCATTTTTTTTTTGAAAGGTGTGCAGGGGGCACACCCAGAGATGCTCGGGGCTTACCCTAGCTCTGTGCTCAGTTGGCAGTGCCTGGGAATGCAGAGGATTGAACCAGGTCAACCACATGCAAGGTAAGTACTACTTACTACATGTCATACTATCTCTCTGGCTCCCGCTATGTAATAATATAAAATTATCGGGGCTGGAGCGATAGCACAGCGGGTAGGGCGTTTGCCTTGCACGCGGCCAACCCAGGTTCTAATCCTAGCTTCCCATATGGTCCCCTGAGCACCGTCAGGAGTAACTCCTGAGTGCAGAGCCAGGAGTAACCCCTGTGCATTGCCGGGTGTGACCCAAAAAGCAAAAATAAATAAATAAATAAATAAAATTATATACATCCATGATATAACTAATACATACAGCAACTATAAATAGCATCCTCCACCCAGATCCTCCATCTTCCAGTAGGCAGGGGTCACACCCACCAACTGATCCCCAGCACCATGTAATCCCATCAACGGCCAAGACCCAGAGACTATAAAACCCAGCTCCCGGAAGAAAACAGAGCAGAGTCTCCTGCCCCCGCGCCTGGCTGTCCTCGCCGGGGCCCTTTGGAGGGAGGCAGGTTGAGTTTCCCTCCCTGCCCTGAGCAGAGTTCTGGCAGCCGAAGACCTCCAGAACCAGCCCCAAACATGCTGAGACCACTCTCCACACGCATGAAGGTACCGGCAGAGGAACAAAGGCATGTGGGTCCCGGGGCTGAGATCTCCAAGCCTGCTCGGATCGGGGCTGAGCATCTTCCACCCAGATCCTCCATCTTCCAGCAGACAGGGGTCACACCCACCAACTGACCCCCAGCGCCGTGTAATCTCATCAACGCCCAAGACCCAGAGACTATAAAACCCAGCTCCGGAAGCTGACATCTTATTATCTCATTCTTACTTTGGACAACCTGGCAGGCTACCGAATGTTACCTGCCCACACAGCAGAGTCTGGCAAACTCCCCGTGGCGTACCCAATATGCCAAATACCAGTAACAATGATGGGTCTCATTCCCCTAACCCTGAAAGAGCCTTGAATATGACACCTTTTAAAAAAATCTCAGGGCTAGGACTAAGAGACGTTACTGGGGCCTGCTTGAGGTAATCAATGACATCCATGATATAACTAATACAGCAACTATAAATAACGTACAGTGTTGTTATGCACATATAAATATTGTCACGGGTTAAGATAAATCCTCCAGCTCCAGGTACACATAACACTTAAAATGCTGCCCACCCCATCCTCACTGCACTTGACTCTAGCACTGTGACCCCAACTTCCACTCTGCCCCTTCTTCCCTTTCTCCCCTCCTTGTTCAAGCCCCCTAGAAACAGGTACAGGGATTTGTGGAGCAGGAAGTGGAAGGAAACGTCCTGTCAGCTGACAACGCCATGAGCAAATCACGGTGTGCCAAAGCCACACCCAAGGCACCTGCCCCTCTGCAGAAACTCAGACCTGGCGCCTGGGCTGGTCTGTCCGGGAAGGCCATCTGCATCCCCCTGCTGATACCGTGTTCCTGCGCAGGAACTTTTCTTTCAGTTTCTATTTGCTGCTGTTGTTCTCACCTCTGTGAGGAGGTGAACCTCTCCAGGTGACACCCACAGGCATGGATTTTGCTAGATTTTCCAGCACCCCCTTCATCGGCTGCTGTATCAAGTTACTTCTCCTGGCCGGTAAACAACCTGGTACTCCAGGTCTCTTGGAGACCCCCCCCCAAACCCGGATTACAGGTGGCTCACACTGGACTACCTCTCTCCTCGCCAGCACACCCTAGAGACGTTAGGGACGGAATCTGCATAAGGGAGGAAGCCAGACCCCATTTGAGATTCCCAATCCCCATCCCTAAGGGCATCTGTGTTCAGAAGATAAAGCAAGACAAAGTGGGTCCTTTCAGGGGCCTCTGCACACCCAAATAGGAAACTCTCAGAGGAGGCTCTGCTCCATCATCCTGGACATCGTCCAGGCAACGGTCAAGATGCGGTTGTCGAGGCTGAAGCAATAGCCCAGTGGGTAGGGCTTTTGCCTTGCACACAACGACCAGGGTTCGATTCCCAGCATCCCATAGGGTCTCCTGAGCACAGCCAGGAGCAATTCCTGAGTGCTGAGTCAGGAGTAACCACTGTGCATCGCCGGTTGTGAGCCCAAAAAGAAAAAAAAATGCGGCAGTCCCATGAAGCCCCCTCCAAGCAGCTGAACTGCAGGTCCAGGGACAGCATCATTTCGATGAGAAAAGAGCAACTCATGGGAACTGGATGTGGAACTGCATGCAGTTACTCAAGGACCTGCTTTCCACACCCCTTTCTCTTCAAGTCATGAATGTTTCAAAACAGGGGAGACTTGGAGCACTGGATTCAAAGTCACCCGCAAATTCATGGCTGAGCTCTGCGGACTGCGAGCTGAGAATCCTTTACTGAGGTATGAAACGGGGAATAGTCGAGAAAGGCCCATTTGTCTGGAGGGCTTAGAGGGAAGTGGGCGTCCAGCCAAGAGAGACTCTAGAGTGCACAGAGGAGGCTGGGGATTTAAGAAGCGGCTATTTACCAGAGCAGGCGCGGAAATCACGTGACCTACAGACTTGTGAGAGGGCAACTCTTTTAAAGAACCTCCTCATGGGCTGAAATACTGTACTGGAATAATGGAGTACTGTGGGTAGGGGGTTTGCCTTGCACATGGCCAGCCAACCTGGGTTCAATTTCCAGCATCCCATATGGTCCCCTGAGCACTGCCAGGAGTAACCCCTGAGCATCATCGGGTGTGACCCCAAAAGCAAAAAAAAAAAAAAACCTCCTCGTGTGGGGGGCTAAGCCCTGAAAGACAAAGCAAAAAAAAAAAAATACCTCCTCGTGTGGGGGGCTAAGCCCTGAAAGACAGAACGGGCTGTGCCAAGACACCCCGCAGGCTCTGCAAAACAACATCATCACGCAGTTGCCGCCTCGAACTCCTACCAGGTGATGAGCTGAGAAGGCCAGGCCTGTCCACGTAGGCCCCACTGCAGAGAAGGAGCAGAAACCAGGAGGACACACGGGCACACGGAGACCTACCTCCTACCCCACACGCATCCGCTTTGAGTTCAGGGAGTCAGAAAACTGAGAGGGCCAAGAGCGCAGGCTGGCCTCAGCGATCCGGACAGTGGCAGAACCCAGGCGGGGCCAGCCGCCCAGGAAAGCTCAGGAGCAGGCAGGGACAGGCTGGGCAGAGTCACCCACACATACACATGGCCGAAGACCAGGAGAGCCGAGATGAATGACAGGAGCTGCTGGGCCAAGGCAGGCCCAGCGACAAGATTTCAGAAGTTATACACTGGACTGGGCACTGTGGGACAGAATGAGTAACTTCATACGTGGGCAAAGGGAGGCCTGTACACTTGGGGAGGGCCCAGGACCCATGGACTTAACCTGAACAGTAAACGCTAAAAGCTTAACTAGCAGCAGCAAAGCTGAGAGCTGCCTTTCCAAAGCGGAGGAGTGTTAGGACTTCCCCTACAGCTGTAAGGCCCTTCATAGCTATCCTCAGGCCGCAGCTGACCCCGCGCTGACCCTGCCTGGATTCTTCCCAAGGTGTAACCTGATAGTTCAGCTGTCTCCAATCCAGGACCCTTGCAAAACTACAGTGTGTGTGTGTGTGTGTGTGTGTGTGTGTGTGTGTGTGATCTGATAGTTCAGCTGTCTCTAATCCAGGACCCTCGCAAAACTACTGAGGTGTGTGTGTGTGTGTGTGTGTGTGTGTGTGTGTGTGTGTGTGTGTGCGCGCGCGCGCGTGTGTGATCTGATAGTTTAGCTGTCTCCAACCTAGGACCCTTGCAAAACTACAGAGTGTGTGTGTGTGTGTGTGTGTATGTGTGTGTGATTTGATAGTTCAGCTGTTTCTAATCCAGGATCCTTGCAAAACTACTGAGGGTGTATGTGTGTGATCTGATAGTTCAGCTGTCTCCAATCTAGGACTCTTGCAAAACTATAAAGGGTGTGTGTGTGTGTGTGTGTGTGTGTGTGTGTGTGTGTGTGTGATCTGATGGTTCAGCTGACTCCAATCCAGGACACCTGCAAAACTACAGAATGTGTGTGTGTGCGTGTGTGTGTGTGGGTGTGTGCCTAATCTGATAGTTCAGCTGTCACCAATCCAAGACCCCTGCAAAACTACAGAGGGTGTGTTGGGGGGGGAGGGGGTTAACATTTCTTCTTTCAGAAGAGGAGAGGTCAGAGGCACCAGAAGTAACTGGCAAGAGCCAGAAGCCACACATAGAAATCTTTGCTTTTGACTAACTCTTGTTAGTAATTGAAGTACACAACTTAGAATTTGGAATCTTTTCATTACCTTCCCCCCACCCAAAAAAAAAAGTATAAAATTAAAGAGTGGCACTTTCACTAACAATTTGTTTAATCAGGAAGTAGATATTTTCTTTCAATGATTAATTAGAGTCAGGACATTATCAATTTGAAGAGGTTGTTTAGGTATTTCTAATTAAGGCAAATGGAGCTTCTTTAAAATATTCTTTGGTCAGAAAATAACAATAATGATAAGTAGTAGTAGTAGTAGCAGTAGTAGTGGGCTGGAACGATAGCACAGCGGGTAGGGCATCTGCCTTGCACGTGGTTGATCCTGCCGAACGGAGTTCGATTCCTCCGCCCCTCTCGGAGAGCCCGGCAAGCTACCGAGAGTACCCCGCCTGCACGGCAAAGCCTGGCAAGCTACCCATGACATATTCGATATGCCAAACACAGCAACAACAAGTCTCACAATGTTACTGGGCCCGCTTGAGAAAATCGATGAACAATGGGAGGACAGTGCTACACTAGTAGTAGTAGTAATCTAGTATTCTGGGGCAGAGAGAAGAAAAGATGACCCAATACCCAGTTTGATTATAAAAGCAAATATTAGCATTTCCCAGAATTTGGATATCACCACATCTCTGCGAGTGAGCATAGGCAGATGACTTTCAATATGCAATATCAGGGCTGGAGCGATAGCACAGCCGTAGGGCGTTTGCCTTACAAGCAGCCAACACGGCCCACCCGAGTTCGATTCCTCCGCCCCTCTCGGAGAGTCCGGCAAGCTACCGAGAGTATCTCTCGCATGGTAGAGCCTGGCAAGCTACCCGTGACGTACTCGATATGCCAAACACAGTAACAACAAGTCTCATGATGGAGACATTACTGGGCCTGCTCGAGCAAATCGATGAACAACGGAAGACCGTGACATTTAAGCAACGTTCTCACTCTAGAAACAAATGTAAGGGCCAGAGGGATAGCACAGCAGTAAGGCACTGGCCTTGCATGCAGATGACCCAGGTTCAGGGACCACAAAATTCTTCTGAGCACTGCCAGGAGTTGATCCCTGAGCTCAAAGCCAGGAGTAAGCACTGAGTACCCAGGTGTGTCCCCAAAACAAAAACAATAATAAAAATTAAACAAACCTAAATAATTACAATGAAGTTACAGATTTCGGGGTCCAGAGAGATAGTACAGCGGATAAGGCAATTGCCTTGCACATGGCTAAGTGGGTTCAATCCCTGGGACCCCATATGGTCTCCTGAGCCCTGCCAGGAGTGATCCCTGAGGACAGAGCCAGGGTAAACCCTGAGCACTTCAGGTGTGCCCCCCCGCACCCTCAAATACAGACTTAGAGCTGGGACACACGCTTTGCATATAGGATCCCTGGATTAGATCCCCAGCACCACACAGTCCCCTGAAAATCACCAGGAGTGACCCCCAGCACCAAGCCAGGAATAAATCCTGAGTGCCACCAAGTGGCCACTCTGCCCCTCCACCCCCCACAACAAGCAAAAAACACAGAAAAACATTATAAACCGCACGCCACCCCCACCCCACCCCCACCCTGTTGCTTCTGTGATGCTGATGTGATGACGGGTGGGGCAGGTGTTATCATACACCTGCCTTGGGCCTCTGCATCTGGCCGTGGGGCTCGGAAAATCATACTTCCTTCCGTGCCCACATGTTCACACCCTTCAGCAGCTTGCACACACCTGCTACCGTGTGTCTAGAAATCCTTTCTTTCTTTCTTTCTCTCTCTCTCTCTTTTTTTTTTTTTTTTTGCTTTTTGGGTCACACGCGGCAATGCACAGGGGTTACTCCTGGCTCTGCACTCAGTAGTTACTCCTGGCGGTGCTCAGGGGACCATATGGGATGCTGGGAATTGAACCTGGGTCGGCCGCGTGCAAGGCAAATCCCCTACCCGCTGTGCTATCGCTCCAGCCCCCAGAAATCCTTTCTATCTGCCCAGCATGCTGCTTAGTGTCTGGTAGGGCACCAGGGATTTAAGTCCAGGCAAAATGCTTGCTCCGCAGATGCGCTAGCCACTGAACCTCCTGGCCTCCCGGTCCCAGATGTTTAAGCAACTGGACACAAGACGACACTTTGAAAGCACTCAGCAGGTGGTGAGTATCAATCCTCCCATAACCCACTCTCTACCAGAGTGATCAAGTAACACAAACGCCCGATGGCAATAGAAATGAAGAACATGAGAGCAGGTCTTCAGCAGGAAGCTCGCAATGGAGGTGAGATGGGGAGGGGCAAGGAAGGGGGTACGTCAGGGAAGAGAGAACTACAGCAATGGGGGAGGGAAGTGGTCAGCCTCCCCTCCAGAGGAGGGTGCCAAAAGAAAATGTTTCACAGGAAACCCTATCAGTAACAGTACTGCAAGCTACAGTGTCCAAATATTTATTTAAAAGTGCCTGCGATAGGGGGCCGGAGCTGATAGGGTATTTGTCTTGCACCCGGTCGAACTGGGTTCAATTCCTGGCATCTCATATGGTCCCCTGAGCCATGGCAAAAGTAATTCCTCAGTGCGGAGCCAGAAGTAACCCCTGAGCATCACCAAGTGTGGCCTACAAAGATAAAAATTAAAAAAAAAAAGTGCTGCCTGCTATAGAGGCTGCTGGCGGGCGGGACACTGGCAGAGGAAATTGGGCACTGGTGACGGGCCCAGTATTGGAACACTTTGTGCCTGAAACCCAGCCATGCATAACTTTGTAATCCAAGGTGAACAAAAACGTTTAAAAAAATGAGATAGGGAATCCTTGTGAACATGATTTCATTTTATTGGTGGGATTTTGTTTGTTTGTTTCTTTTCCTTTCTGTTTTGTTTTGCTTTTGTAGGATCAGGAATGGTGCCCGGAGCATCACACATGCCAGGCAAGTGCAGGCCTGCGGTGCCACCTGCCAGCTCCTCCGAGCGGGCTGTGCTTGGGGCCTCCCCGGCCTGCACCAGGACCAAGCTGCCGTCCCCAAAGCCACAACGGCCTGGACACTTGGTAGGCGAATACAGAAACAGGAAGAGATGGGGTGTAACAAGGCAGCATTCACCTGGGGGGTAGCAGACAGTGGCATTCGGGGAGCTGAGAAGTGGGGGGCACTATGGGTCACCCCCACAGGCTCTTTCTGACTCTGTGCTCACCCAAGAAACCTTCTATGATACCAGGAATGGAACCTGGGACGAGGCCCCCGCGGCAACACTCACCCCCTGCACTGACCCTCTAGCCCCTCTGGGAAGATTTTGACTATGTTTGCTGGTTTTGTCTGTTTCATGGTGGATCCAGCCCAGAGCCCTCCACGGCGAGTGGGGAGCCGAAGAAGGGGAAGGAGGCAGGACGAGAAACACACGCCCAGGCCCGGTGGGTCCAGCGGCAGTGAAGCTGCACCAAGCAGGAGCATCGGGGCGCCCACCTGCCCGCCCGCCCACCCGTGCCGCCTACATAGATGCTGGTGCCACACCACAGAGGCCAGAGTCCCCCAAATTCTCAGATCCGGCAAGAGAGAAGGGAAGACGCCCGGAGCGTACAGGGCAAGGGTCGGGCTCACGCGCACCTGCCGCACTTACCAAACACCCGGGCCACGAAGCCCAGAGGGAACTGCGAGGCGAAGACGGTGAGGAACCAGGGCGCGGCGTACAGGCTGGGCCCAATCTCCTGCTCCTCCAGGTGCCCATGCAGGTCCCGGTGGTAGTCGTGCAGGAGCCGTGAGAGCTGGTACATCTGGATCTGGGGGCACACAGACACCCGCTGAGCCTGGCTATCGGCACCCCGCGCACCCAAAAGGGCTGCTGGCAGATGCCCCCGCGTGCCAAGCAGCGCCCTCCTGCTCCCGCCTACAGGAGCCTGGGGGGTCGGTCTCTCCCAGGGAAACCGTCCGCACATCCTCTTCAGAATCGCTGTCCCTGAACGCCCACTGGCAAGGGTAACGGGGATTTGGGGAGGACGGCGGCCTCTGCCGAGGAGCTGTAGGCAGGGGTTTTGGTTTCTTTTAGATTTTAGACCATGCCCGGCCACGCTCAGAGGTCACCCTGGCTCTGCACTGAGGAATTACTCCTTGCCCCATGCAAGGCAAGCGTCCACATCCTGTACTATCTTTCCGGCCAGTCAGGTACTGTCATGTGCACTCCTTAGCCCACGACCCCTGGGGTCACCCCCAAATGACTCAAGTAGGTAGGGCACTGGGGATTTCTCAAGGCTCCCAACAAAAAGTACAGGGCCTGGGTGAGTTAAAATGGGTATAAAATGGGGCCTGAGTGATGGGCACTTGCCTTGCATGTGGCCAGTCCTGGTTTGGTCCCAGGCAGGAGTGATCCCTAAGTGCAGTGCAGAGCCAGGGAGTGAGAGCCCTGAGCACTGACGTGGTCCCAAAATGAACAAACGTGACCCCCTTAGACACGAGGCCATTTGCAGCTCAAGCTGAGTGTGGCTCCAAAGTGCTCCCTCTGGAGAGTGACAGAGGGTGGCAGGGTTCCAGGAGGGACCGGTCGGGGGTCACTGTAGCGCTGTGACCCGAGTCCAACCCCCAACAAGAACCTTGAGAGGTCCACTTCCCGACCGCCATGCCGCAAGGCGGGAGTGCACCCCGCAGGAGGGGGGATCGTGGGTTGCCTGGCTCGTCACCTCACCCTCAGCTTTTCTGTAGCAGGAAGAATCAGTTGGCTGGGGTCTGGCACCCCTGAGGATGCTGGGCTCCAACCCTGAGTCATAGCAAAGTCACAAACTGCTCCCTGGGGTGGCAGCTGCCACATTTTAACTTGCTGTGAATGAAGCTGGGGCCACACCCATCCATGGGCCTGGCCGCTCCAAGAGAAGGGGTCCCCCAGGGGCTTCTGCCCGGTCCAGGCGGGCTCACTCTAGAGTGGGCAAAGGCCAGGTCACAAGGGCCTGACTAAGTGCAGAGACACACAGGCCCGACAGCAGTTGCAGAACTCGGCGGCCAACAGGCAGCACGAGAGCACGGGGCACCAAGTAGGCACCGGGCACTGCCTCTGCCTGCTCAGCCCACACCGCCCCGGGCTGCCTGGGCCCAGACGAACGGTTCTTCTGTCTCAGATAAGAGGAAGATGATGAAAGGAGCAGGCAAATGGCGCAGGAAACGGGATCACCATGGGAAGTGGGGTGAAAAGAAGAGAGAGTGTGTGTGCGCACACGCAGCAAATGGCTCGAAAAAGCGGGATCACCATGGGAAGTGAGTGAGGTGAAAGGAGAGGGTGTGTGTGTGTGTGTGTGTGTGTGTGTGTGTGTGTGTGCGCGCACTGACTGGGGGTAGAGAGGATGGAAGTGAGGCGCACGGACAGAGGAGCCTCTCCAGAAACCCCAATGACCAGGGATCAGGTGAGCTGGGGTGGGGTCCATGGTAGAGCCGACTATACCCGGTGGTCACCTATGGATGATTGGAGGTGTGGGGATTTTGTCTTGTTTTTGAGCCACACCTGGTGATGCTCAGGGCATCGATTATGCCCAGTGGGCTATGCAAGATGCTGGGATCTAAGCTGGGCTGGCTGCATGCGGGGCAAGGACCCTACTGCCTCTACCCCCTGTACCATCATTCCTCAAGGTGACTGATCGGAGGGAAAGTCAGAGGGAAGAGGCCCCCTGGGCTAAACCCCTGCTCTGCCACTTGCTTGCTGTGTGACCTGGGCAAATGGGGCAACCGCTCTGGGCCTCAGTTTCCCTGCCTGTTAGCTGAGTGATAATCAGTGTCTGCCCAGGAGTGAGGGAGGGCAGAGATGAAATATCAACAGAGGAGCCGGAGCGATAGCATAGCAGGTAGGGCGTTTGCCTTGCACGCAGCAGACCCAGGTTCGATTCCCAGCATCCCATATGGTCCCCTGAGCACCGCCAGGAGTAATTCCTGAGTGCATGAGCCAGGAGTAACCCCTGTGCATCACCAGGTGTGACCCAAAAAGAACAAATAAATAAATAAATGTCAACGGAACATCTGGCCTCCAATGCCCAGCAAGGTAAATGCTTTCAGCCCAGACAGGCGTGGGGGTGGAGGGCTGCAGGCAGCTTTCCTGCAGCCCCTCTGGGACACCAAGGCAGGCTCGCGGGCTACCTGCAGGATGATCATGTCCGGCCGGTACTGCTTCCGCAGGCCCATGTCGAACATCAGGAACTTGAGCATGTGGAAGGCCTCCTCCTCGCCCATGTGCAGCAGCAGGATGCCCGCGACGAAGCTGAGTCCCTGGCAATAGCCCACCTCCTGGTCCAGGAGCGAGTAGGCCTTCAGGATGTTGTAGAGCGACAGCTGCCCTGCTCCGAGCTGGGCCGAGAAGTAGGGGTGTGTGGGGAAGGTCCGGCCTGTGGACGCAAGAGGCGCACGTGCGGTCAGTGCAGGGCAGGAGTCGGACAGGTCAGACCTCAGGGCTGCACCTCTGCTTCTTCAGCAGACTGCCTCTGGTTCCCGGGACATGCACAAGCCCTTGAGACCAGACATGAAGACCCCTTCCTGGGGCTGCTGGGGGGCTGGGGAGTAGCTCTACCCCTGACACCCACCAGACAAGCATCCTAACCCCCCTTCTCAAGAGGAGTGGAGCGGGTCTGCACTGGCCCTCTGGTCCGACCTTAAGGGCTGGACAGCCAAGCAGAGTTACACACCATTCTCAGACCTGCTCCCTGCACTACACACACATGCACATACAAACACACATACACACAAACATACATATACACAAAACACACTCAGACACACACAGAAACACAAACACACACAAAACACAACACTGAAGAAGCACACGTATATAGACATGAAAACAAACACATACACAAAACACACATAAACACATGCACAAGCACACCTATATACACAGACATAAAACACACAAACACACATCTACACACAAACATATAGAAATAAACATATAGAATGTCCTGACTCCACGCCAGGATGTCTTCACCGGGGGAACTCAGAGGGGATGCGGGTTGAATTGTCCCAGCAGAACCCCGGCAGCCCAAAACCTCCAGCACCCAACCACCGCCATGCTCATAGCCGCTCTCCACAAACTGGGACGAGCCTCAGCTATGTGGGAACCTGCAGAAAAACCCAGATATGCGGGACCTTGGACTGAGATCTCTAAGCTCGCTAGGAACAGGCCTGGGCCTCCTCCCCACAGCTCCCAAGTTTTTCAGTAGCTTGGCAATCACACCCACAAACTGCCGCTGGTGCAATATAATCTCATCAACGGCCAAGATCCGGAGACTATGAAATAAAGCTCCGGAAGAGAGAACAGGACGTCTTGGAATGTGGCCGTGCGACCTCTTATACTCTAGCCCACTGATGTGCCAAAAGTAGCACATCTTTGCTTGGGTTTAATATATTGCAAGTAATCTCTTATACAAGGGCTTAAATGGCTCCGAGATGAAATACAACAATCTTCACACACTTTCCTCTTATGGGAAAGTGCACAGTGGTGGGATTGGTGTTTGAATATTATCTGTAATGAACTACTGTGAACAACTTTATAATAATAAAATAAAAAAAAAAGAAATAGCACTGTAGCACTGTCCTCCCATTGTTCATCGATTTGCTCGAGCGGGCATCAGTAACATCTACACTGTGAGACTTGTTGTTACTGTTTTTAGTATATCGAATACACCATGGGGAGCTTGTCGGGCTCTGTCGTGCGGGCGGGATACTCTCGGTAGCTTGCCGGGCTCTCTGAGAGGGACAGAGAAATAGAACCCGGGTTGTCCGTGTGCAAGGCAAATGCCCTACCCGCTGTGCTATCGCCAGCCCCCTCCCCAAAAGAAATAAACATACATATACACAGAGAAACATATACACAGACACACACACAAACGCACAAGTATACACACAGCACACGCACAAATACACACACACAGGCCTGGAATTCCTCCCACACGCGGCAGGCCTGCTCTGGGCCAGGGAGCAGGTGTTTCTTTTCTCTGGGGGTGTCACACCCAGCAGTGCTCAGGGCTCCCTCCTGGAGTGAACAGAGGGCCCTGCAGTGCTGGGTGGGACTCAAGGCCCTGCACACAAAGCCGGCCCCTGCCTGTTAAGTGTCTCTTGTCTCCACCCACACCCCATATGTTTTCTTTTATACAAGTTACTTTCCCAACACAGAATGTTCATTTATTTTTTGGTTTTGGGGTCACACCCGGAGAAGCTCAGGGGTTACTCCTGGCTCTGCACTCGGGTCACTCCTGGCGATGCCTGGGGGCCACATGGGATACTGAGGATTGAACCTGGGTCAGCTGCGTGCAAAGGAGAGGAATGATTATAAAACTAAGAATAAATTCACCTAGGGGCTATGGGCTATGAGCTATGAGGAACTGGTTGCACGTGGCGTGGCCCCGGGGTATAGGATGAACTCAGATTTCTGTGAGAGGAAATGAAGTCACCCTCCACTTTAAGCCAGTGTGTTTGTTTTTCAGCAGGGGCCACACCCAGTGGTAGTGTGTGTGTGTGTGGGGGGGGGGTGGTGTGTGCATGTGTGTGGTGTGTGTGGTGTGTGCTGTGGTGTGTGTTGTGAGAGGGTGTGTGTGTGGGGTGTATGTGTGGGGGGGTGGTGTGTGATGTGTGGTGTATTTGTGTGTGAGGTGTGTGTAGTGTGTGAGGTGTGTGTGGTTGTGGTCTGTGGGGGGGTTGAGGGGTGTGGGGTGTTTGTGGGATGTGTGTAGGGTGGGGGGGTTGTGGAATGTATGTGTGTGGTGTGTTGGTGTGTGTGTAGTGTGTGTCTATGGTATATGTGGTGTGTGTGGTATGTGTGAGGGGTGCAGGGGTTGCATGTGTGGGTGTGTTTGTGCAGTGTGTGTGCCGTGTGTGGAGTGTGTGTGGTGTGGTATGCGTGTGTGGTATGTATGCGTGTGTGTTTGTGTGGTGTGTGTGGCATGTGTGTGTGTATGGTGTGTGTATGTCTGGTGTGTGTGTGTGCGTGTGTGTATGTGTGTGTGCTGGCCATGCACAGTGATGAGGATGGAGCTCAGAACCTCCCCCGGGGTTAGCCCCCCCCCCCCCCCCCGCCACCTCTACTCTGGCCATCCTAACCACCCTAACCACCCGTCCAGGATCTGGGTCATGGCTGTCCTGGCCTGGCTGTCCTGATACTGCGAGGCCTCTGGGCACACCCTGTCCCCACAGCTCCCCTCTGGGCTCAGGACCTCTCTGAAGCTCAAGGGCATATTCAGAGTGAGGATGATAACCAGGATCCCACCACGTGGAAGGCACCAGATGTGAGGGCAGGCCCCGCTCCCACCTCCTGAACCCCCAGGATACAGCATGCAGCTGGCCTGACACGTGTGCAGAAAGCAAGGCCCTCAGAAGGGGTGCTGCAGAAGGGGACTGCTGCCGGGGGCCAAGGACAGATGGACACACAGTGTCAGGGGAGCGAGAGGGAAGACATGTGCTCTGGGCCTGGGCATCGCCTCCACAGCACAACATGAAACTAATTTCGGTCGTTTGGCAGGGGCGGTGAGGGGAGCAGACAGGGACGGGCACTCCCGGCAGTGCTCAAGGGACCACACAGTGCCAGGGAAGAACACGGAAAGCTCCCTCATGACACACGGCATGTGCCCAGGCCCACTGAGCCACGCCCCGGACCCTGTGCCACATTCTTAGAAAGCTGACACCCCAAACCATCAAGGCTAGCACTCAGAACACGAAGCACCGTTCCAACTGCAAAATCTACTATTCTCATTCCTTGGGTGGGAGGGAGGGGAGAGAAAAATCTTGCTGAAAAGTTGGTCAGGGCAACAGTTCATTTTGGAACGAAAAGTGAGAGGCAGAAAAGACAGAATCTGATCAACCAAGTGTTTTCTTTCTCTGGGGAGGGTCTGAAAGTCGCTTGTGAAGAACAACTGAGATCAGGGTGCGCCTGTACCTGGTACTCTGCAGCTGGGGTGGGTCGTGGGTTAGAGAGTGTGGACCAAGAGAAACCGAAAACTCAAAACGGGCACCCTCCTGGGGTCGGAGAGATAGTACTAAGGGGAGGGTAGTTGCTTTGCACATGCCAAAGTTCGATCCCCAACACCCCATGAGGATCCCTGAGCCCCACCAGGAGTGACTCCTGAGTTCAGAGCCAGAGTGTGGCCTGAGCATCACCAGGTGTGGCCCACCACCCAAAACAATAATCATAATAAATAAATAAATAAATAAACAAAGAAACAAACAGGCACCTTCCAGAGACCATGGGCAGAGTCAGGAGGAACTTCTGTGAGCCCCCAAATCCGAGTGAGCAGGGCCCAAATAGGACAGGCAGGGCACTTCAAGTCACGGGGGGTGTCCAGGCCACCCGGATGCGGAACAAGGCTGAGCAGCAGGGACCCCGCAGATGCCAGGTGGGGAGAGGAGAATTGCCCACTGTCCGTTACCCACTGAATCTCTTCGATGACCCAGAGGCACCAAGCAGGAGACAGACGGGGGGAAGCCTGGGTGGGAGGGGAGGGCACATGGCGGCCAGTGCTGACCGTCAGAAGAGGAGGTTGCGCTGGGCTTATGGGGGTACTGCAGGGGGAGGGCTGGGAGGGCACGCGGGCAGTGCAGCACTGCCAGGGATTAAGGCGGCTGCCTCAGTGCCAAGTGGGGCAAAGGCTGCCTGGAGCCCCGGGCAGAGGCCCCACAGCACAGCTGCTCAGCCTCCCTCTCCTTGTGACCATCTGCTCTGGCCGGAGGGGGGAAAAAAAGGGAAGATAGCTGAGCAGGAGGGTCAGAGGGTGAGCCCCTGGGGAGGGAGAAGGAGGATCGGGAGCGCATCCCCCCACCTCCGTGCTGGAAGGAGGGCGGGCTGTATGAAACTGCCAGCTCCCCCCGCCCAGGATCTGCACTTGGTTCTCACTGCATTTCACATGATGGGGACATGACGTCACTTCTCACTCACCACACTCACAAACACGGTTCCTGCCAATGTGCACAACCACTTGGGGTTAGTGGGGCAAACCGGCTCCAGCCTCATGCTCCCCAGGGGCAATCATGGCCGTTGGCTTCACCCCACGCCCCGGGAGCCACAGCCACGGGAGTGGGGGTGCTCTGGGCTCCCCGGGAGGTGTCCAGTCAGTTTCTGGGGGTATCAGCAGGTCAACCTGTACCTGCAGGGCAAGTGTGTCAGCTGCCAAATTACCTACTGCTATGCCTCTGGACAACTTGGGGCCAAATTTCCTGAGAAATTAAATGGCCAAAAGTTAGGAATGTGGGAGTCACACCCACAAAGCACCTCTGGCTCAGCTATACAAATTCAGTTTTTGGCCTTGCTATGGACACTCATAAATCAATCTCGAAAGAGATGAAAAGCCGCAGTTAATCTCAGACCCGAGCAAGGCGGAGCAGACTTGGGTAAACTGGACGGGGCAGGTTGGCCTGTGCCCGCCCAAGCGGAGCCCCAGCAGCTGCTCGCTTCCACAATCCAAAATCACTGCCACACCCCAGCCTGACTCCACCATCTCAGGACAGATCTCACCTAGATACAATCTGTTGAAAATTCGGGCCTGCAGGTTTTTTGACTGAAATCTCCCGGCTTTCTCAAGGGTCAAGATGGGCTATCTTACCCCACCTCCCTGTATTTCCGGAAGCCTCGGCAGTCACATCCCACACCCCAAAGCTTCCACCCAGTTAAAAAGCTACTCCAGCCCTACTGTCCTGATAAAAATACTGAATGCCCTGAACCATGACCTCTAAGCACCTGTAATGCAAACCATAATGCACAAAAGTAGAGGGAGGCTGGGGGTGAGGGGTGGGGTGTTGGGGGGTGGGAGGGAAATGGCGGACACTGGTGGAGGGATGGGTGTCGGATAATTATGACTAAAACCCAATTACGAACAGCTTTGTAAGAGTCTCCTGCCCCCGCGCCTGGCTGTCCTCACCAGGGTCCCTTGGAGGGGGGCGGGTTGAGTTTCCCTTCCCCTCCCACCCCTCCCAACCTCCCCCCTCGAGCAGAGCCCCAGCAGCCAAAGACCTCCAGAACCAGCCACAGCCATGCTGAGACTATTCTCCACACGTCTGGAAAAGCCTCATGCATGAAGGAACCAGTAGAGAAATCCAGGCATGCGGGTCCCGGGACTGAGATCTCTAAGCCTGCTCAGATCGGGACTGGGCCTTCTCCACCCAGATCCCCCATCTTCCAGTAGGTAGGTGTCACACCCACCAGCTGCCACCAGTGCCCAGGTTGGTCCCATCAACGGCCAAGACCCAGAGACTATAAAACCCAGCTCCCGGAAGTGTGCGGACGTATTTGCGGCCGCAGGACATCTTACTAACTCGTTCTTACTTTGGAGAACCTGGCAGGCTACCAAAAGTATCCTGCCCACACGGCAGAGTCTGGCAAACTTCCCGTGTCGTACTCAATATGCCAAATACCAGTAACAATGATGGGTCTCATTCTCCTAACCCTAAAAGAACATTGAATATGGCTCTTTTAAAATCTCAGTGCTAGGAAGAAGGAGACGTTACTGGTGCCTGCTAGAGGAAATCGATGAACAATAGGATGATCATGATCGTGATTGTAATAGTCTCATGGATATTTAATAAATTTTTTTTAAATAGTAGTGTAGTGTTCATGCCTGCTTTAGTCAGCTTAATCAGTGGCTGAATAAACAGCAGTACTTTTACATCTAAAAAATATATGGTCAGTCCCTGGGGTGGGGAGTATGGGGTGAGGGACAGGAGGCCGTGATCAGGAGCAGTGACATCCCAGTGCAGACCCTAAAGAACGGATTCAGGATGCCAGCCCCGAGGCCCCTGCTCACGTGACCCCCCTTCCCAGGATGGTCACAGGACAGGTGCAAGCAGGGAAAGAAGCCACATATCCCCTCCGCCCCTCAGGGCACTGACAAGTACAAAGGCTCTTTTATTAAAAATTGGTTTGAGGGGCTGGAGAGATAGCACAGTGAGTAGGGCGTTTGCCTTGCATGCAGCCGACCCGGGTTTGGTTCCCAGCATCCCATATGGTCCCCTGAGCACCGCCAGGAGTAACTCCTGAGTCAGGAGTAACCTCTGTGCATTGCCAGGTGTGACCCAAAAAGAAAAAATAAATTAATTAATTAGAAATTGGTTTGGGGGCCATACTCCTCAGTGCTGAGGGCTTACTGCTGACTGTGTTCGGGAATAACTCTGTCTCTGTCTCTCTCTCTCTGTGTGAGGTGTGTGTGTGTGTGTGTGTGTGTGTGTGTGTGTGTGTGGCACCCCCACAATGCTCAGGGGTTACTCCTGGCTCAGGGATCACTTTTGGCAGTGCTCGGGGGACCATATGGGATGCTTGGGAACAGAACCCACCTGTCAATAACCTGTAAGGCCAACGCCCACCCTGCTGTGCTGTCTGTCTCTCCGGCCACAGGGGTCACTTCTGATGGGCCTGGGGGGGCGACCCATGTAGTGCCAGGGACCAAACCCAGCTGGCTGCATGCAAGGCAAGTGCCACCCCCATCCTATCTCTTGGGCCCTCTGGAGGCTCTCTTGCACCCCCAGAGCCTGCCCCCCACCCCTTCCTTGGCTGCCCCTACACTGCATCCACTTTCCTGCCGTTTCCCCAATTCTCTAAGTCTCCACAGACACCCCTGCGGCTCTCCGGACTTTTCTAGCCAGCTGCCCCGTGAGAAGTGCTCAGGACTGGGGGATGCTTCCTGCGAGGAAGCCGGGCTCGGGAGCCGACACCCACGGTCCAGGCGGCTCACCCAGGTCGATGAGGATGGCGTGCTGCTGTGACGTGAGCTGCTTCAGGAGCTCCTTGTAGGGCGTGTCCTGAGGAGGCGGCTTGCTGGGGAAGTGCTGGTGAAGGTGGCGCTGCTCGGCCAGGAACTTCCAGATCTCCCCTCGGTGGTGGCGGGGCACACCTGCAGGACAGGGCAGGGTGGGGAAGTGGTGGAGCTGGAGAAGCCTTGGAGCAAAACGGCTGGGCTTCCCCCAGCCATTGGGGTCTCGGGCCACTAAGGACGGGCAATGGCAAGGCAGCAGCCCACCTTGAGCTGTCTGCCTGCCTGCCTCATCTCCTCCCTCCCTCCCTCCTTCCCTTCCTCCCTCCTCCCTTCCTTACCTCCTTCTTCCTCCTTCCTTCTCTCCCCCCCACCCCCGCCCTTCCTCCCTCACTCTGCCGGCCCCTCCCCCCCCTCTTCTTTCCCCTTCTACACTCCAGACAGGTTCTACTCAGCTCGGGACACAATGCACTGAAGGGGTGACAGGAGCCAGTCCACAATGTCAGGGCACACGGCTGGGGCGGCTGGGGCGATAGTACTGCAGGTGAGACACTTCCCTTGGACACGGCCGACTCCATCCCCAGCAACCCATCGTGGTCCCCCATACTCTGCCTTGAGTGATCTCTGCACACAGAGCCAGGAGTAACCCTGAAGCACTGCCGGATGTGTTTCCCGCCCCCCCACCCCCCAAATCAAAACAAAACAAAACAAAACCAGGAAAGCAAGAAAAAAGAAAAAAAAATCAAACAATGTCAGGGCAAGAAGAGCAGTGAGTGCGAGCACAGTGCCCATGGGGTCCGAGAGAGGCACAGATACCAAGGACATGAGCGCAGGGGTGGGGGTGGGGTTTCCCGGAGCCTTCTCTTGCTAAGCCTTGAGAGTGGAAGAGAGTGCACAACCCTGAGGGTTACAGAGCGTGCAGGGATCCTGTGTTCCAGCCCCAGCACCACATGTCCCCCCAAACACTATGGGAAATGATGCCATCAGGAGTGACCCCCCTAAAAAAAAACACTGAAACAATAGAGCTGAGGAGAGAGAAGAAGACAGGTACGGGGTGAGGGGTGGGGGGCTCGGCATGTCAGCAGAGGTGCTGTGAGCAGGGCTGGGTCAGCGAGGGCAGGCAGAGGGTTTCAGCAGCAGAGAGCAAATGGAGGACAAGAAGACTGCAAGCTGCTGGCGGCGGAGGCTGAGTCTTTAACTGGGGCCGGGTGACCGGATGTAAGGGTCGTTTTCAAATAAATCCCTTTGTGACTGACCACCACCACATGCTTGATTTGTACACCCATTTTAATATGGCCAGGATGGCACAAAAATTTACTGGGCAAAAAGGGGGTAAGTTCCCAGAGGAAAGAGCTGAAGGTGCTGGAGCGAGAGGCTGCAGGTGCCCAACTGGAGCAGAGGTTCCGGAATAGCATTGCCGGGTGTGACCAGCAGCGACAGTCGGGTACTGTCGGGCATGCAGCTGGCCTGGCGTTGGCTCAACACCCCATCTGGCCCCCAGAGCTCCACTAGAGGTGATCCCTGAGTGCGGAACCGGGAGAGAGCCCTGAGCACTGCCAGGTGTGGCCCCCTCCCAAACAACCCCCCTCCCCAAACAAAGAAAAAAAGGAAGGAAAAAGAAAATGACCCCAGAACCCTTTCAATCTGACTCACTTTTTGATTTGGGATGTCTCTTTCCCCTCGTAACTGGCTGTCGGGCAAACCCAGGGTCTCCCGCTCCTCTGCCACTGAGTCATACCCCTCACCCCTCAGGATGGATGTTTCCAAAGAGATTAATACATTTTTTAAAAATTCTCTCAAAAGAACTGTTAAAGTTTTTTTTTTGTTTTTGGTTTTTGGGTTTTTGGGTCACACGTGGCGATGCACAGGGGTTACTCTTGGCTCTGCACTCAGGAATTACCCCTGGCAGTGCTCAGGGGACCATATGGGATGCTGGGAATCGAACCCGGGTTGGCCGCATGCAAGGCAAACACCCTACCCGCTGTGCTATTACTCCAGTCCCCTAAAGTTTTATTTTTATTTTTGGGGTGCCATACCTGGCAATGCTCTGGGAACTTACTCCCAGCTGTGTACTCAGTTGCCCCTGGCGGTGCTCGGGGCACCACATGGAATGTGGGAATCAAGCAGGTCAGCGTCCTCCAGACGCCCTGCCCTCCCCACTATACTAAGGAAGGCTCCAGCCCTCGAGCTGTTACCTTGAATACTAAAGGTCACAGGCAGTGTCTAGGTTTTACAGAGTCCCCTGAAAGCCAATGCCGCCGAGTGGGGCACATCATGTGAGCAAAAGGGAGTTCTGAACAGGAACTGCTTCGTGTCTACTCATCCGTCTTCCCCTTGGGAGTGGTTTCTGCTCAAACCTGGGCCGTCATGGCCAGTATCTGTCTCTGTTCTGGCTCTTTTATCTTCACAACTGGCTATGACGAGAGTTAAGAGGACAATGCCCGCACAAGAGCCCCTGAGAATGGCCCCTGGGCTGAATCTGCCTTTTCTATCATTATGGTCTTTCTTTCCCTTCTACTCTGCTCAGAGATGTACCTTGAGTACATCTCTGATTTCTCTGATTTATACACACACACACACACACACACACACACACACGCACGCACGCACGCATGCATGCACGCACACGCACACACGCACACAAACATACTTCAAAACCCTGATTCCAAGTAAATGTGGCTCCAAACTGTCTGCTATCCTCCTTTATCTATCAGGATAAAAATAAACTTATCCTAAAAATGATTTATTGTGGGGCTTTTCACAAAAAATCCCCCCCCACCACCACCAAACTGAACATTTTCCCAAGTTATGAGATGGCCAATTTCTTCTCATCCCGAGATCATTCTCATGGCCATATCAGATCTTTTTTTATTTAATCTCACGGTGTCAAAAGTACCCCAGAGACAACAGGGTCATGCCCACCAGCCCTGACACGTGGCTCAGAAGGCATTTCTCCTGCACGGGGTCCACGTCATACACCCATCCCTCCCGCAACATGTATGCATCTACCTTTGTAATTAGTCCTGACATCAAAAGTAACTTTTAGGGGCTAGAGTGATAGTTCAGCAGGTAGGTCATTTGCCTTGCATGTGGCCGACCCGGATTCAATTCCCAGCATCCCATATTATCCCCTGAGCATCATCAGGAGTAATTCCTGAGTGCATGAGCCAAGAGAAACCCCCGTGCATTGCGGGGTATGACTCAAAAAAGAAAAAAGAAAAAAAATTTTAAAAAATTTAAATGTAGGGGGCTGGAATAGCACAGTGGGTAGAGCTTTTGCCTTGCACGCGGCCGACCTGTGTTCAATTCCCAGCATCCCATATGGTCCCCCAAGCACCGCCAGGAGTAATTCCTGAGTGCAAAGCCACGAGTAACCCCTCAGATCGCTGGGTGTGACCCAAAAAGAAAAAAAACTGTAAATGCAAAAGATGTGAACAAAGTGAAAAATCAATATCAGAGGGAACACATAATTTACCAGCCAAAGCAGGAACCTTTGGCAAATGGGAAAGAGGGCGCTACTCAAAAGGATGAGTTGGGTCTGGAAAACCGGACTCTGTGAACCTACAACCCCGCCATCCACCTCCTCCCCTCCCCCCCCTCCGCCCGTACAACCTCATCTGGACGCTCGTCTGCACGCGTGTGCAGAGCTGCACACAGCCGCCCATGAGACGGGCTCCCCTCCTCCTCCCAGGCCCCTAATGAGCTCACACCTCTGTCACGCTGGGGCATTTTCCAAGCACTATCACATGGCTGCAGGTTTCGGTTCTGTTTTGACAGTTCTTAAACCTTGCCACCTTCCTGCCACGGAATTCTGACTGACAGATTTCTAGAAGTTACTCTGAGTGGCACCACTGGGTTCAAGGGAAGCAGAATTCGCCCCTGAACCAACTGCAAACTCCTCCTGCGTGTCCACTCCTAGACAAGTGGGCCTCAGCGAATCAGGGCCCCCTGGACACCCTCAGTGGGACTCTTGAAACAAGGTTTCAACAGCATCCACAGCAACTTCCTATAAGTTTATAAAAACCATCACTGTCACTGAGCACATGGTCACTTGTGCGTAAGAGCGTCGTTTGATAACAGTTTAAAAATGAACACACCTGGGGCTTGTGTCCTGGGCCCATGTTCTCCCTTGCCCGGCTCTCGGTGTCACGTCTGTGCAGGCTTGCCGCTTTAAACCTGTGTTCTCTTTGAACATGTATCTTTCTAGGACTCTGCTTCCTTGCCTTTTAAACTCATGCTCTCTCTCTCAAACAAGTATTCCTCTTCTTCTCCGCCCCATGCACCCGTATCTTTCTAAGTTCCATTCAATAAAAACTCTTGCTTCACCCCCCCCCCAAAAAAAAAACCACCAAAAAACAAAAAAACACCTAAAAACACCAAGGGCCAGACAGTACAGCAGGGAAGGCACTTGCCTTGCACACTTCCAACCTGGGTTTGAGCCCAGTCATCACACATGGTCCCGAGCCCCTCTAGGAGTGATCCCTGAGCACAGAGCCAGGTGTCAGCCCTCAGTGACTGACTGCCAAGTACTTTATTTTGAGGTTTGGGTGTAGCCCCAAACCAGAGAAACGAAAGCAAGAAATAAATCATTATAATGCATGCTTTTCATCTCTGCCTTAGCAGTCTGTCAAATGTTTTGCCTATGTACCCTGCTCTGCAGGTGAGAGCTGAGGTTGAAACTACTACTTTAACTCAAACCACACTCTGAAGCACCTAGAATTCCACGGAACTCTATCCTCTCCCGAGCTGACACCAAATAATAATCCTGCTACTCTGTCCCACTTTGAACTTAGAAAGTTAGGGAAGCCCTTCCGTTCTGTTGCTAGGGGGGGCTCCTTAGGGGGTTAAGATGAGGGACCTCGGGGCTGGAGCAATAGCACAGCGGGTAGGGTGTTTGCCTTGCACGCGGCCGACCCAGGTTCGATTCCCAGCATCCCATATGGTCCCCCGAGCACTGCCAGGAGTGATTCCTGGTGCATGAACCAGGAGTAACTCCTGTGCATCGCCGGGTGTGACCAAAAAAGCAGAAACAAACAAACAAACAAAAAGATGAGGGACCTCATCATGCCCGCGACAGACTTCTCTGGGCAGAGAGCCAGAGTCGGGCGTGCAACAGGCCGGGGGTCAATCTCTGGCACTACACGGTGCCCCGGGCGGGAGCAGCCCCCAAACACTGTCAGTGTGGCCCCCAAAGCAAAGCCAAGTCCCCACTCCCACAGGGCTGAGCCCCCCTGCTTCTGCGTTAGAGCTCAGGTGTGGTTCTGACTGAATCTCATTTTCAGTTTTATGTTATTCCTCAGTGTGTGGGGCTTGGGGCTTCCAGCGTCAGCGTGGTCTATGGCTATTCCAGCCCTGAGCGCAGGGGTGACCTGGGACACTCCTTGGCAGTGCTTGAACCTCAGGGGTTTTTCGTTTGTTTTGTTTATTAATTTATTTTGAGGTTTCCCAGGGGGTGCTCAGGTCTTGCTGGCTCTGCACTCAGGGATCACTCCTGGTGGGGCTTGGGGGAGCATGTGGGGTGTGGCCATTGAAACCAGGTCAGCCGTGTACCAGGCAGGGGCCACATCCATTGTACTATGACTCCAGCCCTTGAATCTGTTTTAAATTCTGAGGGATGAGCTGGCCCACAGCATTGTTCAGAGTGATTCTTTTTTTTTGTTTGTTTGTTTTTCTTTTTGGGTGACATCCAGCAATGCACAGGGGTTATTCCTGGCTCTGAACTCAGAAATTACGCCTGGCGGTGCTCAGGGAACCACATGGGATGTTGAATACAAACCCGGGTTGGCCACGTGCAAGGCAAACATCCTACCCGCTGTGCTATCAGACCAGCCCGTTTGGAGTGATTCTACTTGTAGCAGAACACCCCAGAAAGCTACCAAGTATCGAACCCAGCACCCCTCCTCAAATTGTTCCCCAGTTTGCACGCTGTCAGCTACACCCTGGGTTTTCCTCGCCTTCTGTTTTCTCAGTGTCTCTATTACTTTGCCGATAAAAGCCGCATCACTTAACTAGGACACTGGGCGCCCGATCAGATACAAGCACCATAAAGTGGACAGAGCTTGCTACCACAGTCAGATTCTGTTTTTCTTTTTTCCTTTGGGTTTTGGAGCCACCCCCAGTGATACTCAGGGCTTACTCCTGGCTCTGCACTCCGAGTCTCTCTGGCATGCTTGGGGGACCCTATGGGAAGTCCAGGTTTGAACCAGCTGGCCACATGCAAGACAAGCACCCGATCCGCTCTCCTATCTCTCTGGCTCCAGGCTGCATTTCTCTGTTCGCACTTCTCTCCCCAGCCGCCAGGGCAGGGTAGGGGTAGGCCCCCTCCCCCGAGGGAGGTGTACCTTGTCCAACTGCCCAATGCACTTTTTCCATGTCAAATTTAATTTTCGCCCTTCCCGGCGTGCTGAGCATTCTCTCCCAAACAGTCGTGACGTCTTTGAGGCAGGGAGTGACTTCTTCGTAGTCCAGCTTGAGGCGCTTGTTCAACAAGTCATTCTTAGAAGCTGCAAGAGATCACGGAGGGAGAGGTTAGCCCACACTGCGGCCACATGAGGGACCCAGCACATCTCGTTCAGCTCAGTGGACCCCAGGTAGCCTCCTGTTACCCCATCTCCTCTCCCAGCCCCATTTTCCTGAGCTTGGGGGGGGGGGGAATCCTGAAAACAAAAACAACAAACAAACACGAAGAAACCACAACTCGGGGATTCTCGTGGCTGCTCTTAGTCTTTCTCATCCACAAAAGGTCTTCTTGGCTCTTGTGCTGAAACACACCCTCGGTGTCCAATGGGTACCACACCCCTGCTCCAGGGCAGGGGCTGTGTGCTGACCCTACCCTGCCGGCATGGTCAGGTCAGCGTTCAACAGGACCCATCCATGCTGACCCGGGGGCTCTCCAGGACAAGAGTCCTCCTGAGCTCCCCTCCCCCACCGAACCACTCCTGCCTCCTGGTGTTGGCGGAATCAAGACCCTCTTCCCATGGGGTCTCTCTCCCAGGGCTCAGGGAAGCTAGCCAGTCCACCAATCTCCCTCAGCTGCATGTAGAACAATTATAGCGGAATGACGAAACTGCAGGAGGCCCTCAGGGATCAGTCAAGGAAAAGCTGAACTCCACCGTCCTAAGATGGGTTTGAAAACGGAGCGCCCTGAAGCCTCAAAATCCTGTCAGAGCAGAGGGGTCGACAGCAGATGGTCCATGCCAGAGTCCTGCTGCTTACTGTCTTAGATGCAGAGCCGGGTCTTAGAAGTGGGGGGAGGGGTGTGTGTGGCTTCGTGATGATGATAAACAAACACAGCCTTGTCTTTTTTGGGGGGGGGGCTTTTTAGGTCATACCCGACGATGCACAGGGGTTACTCTTGGCTCATACACTCAGGAATTACTCCTGGCAGTGCTCGGGGGGACCATATGAAATGCTGGGAATCGAACCTGTCTCGGCCGCGTGCAAGGCAAACGCCCTACCCGCTATGCTATTGCTCCAGCTCCAAACACAGCCTTGTCTTAAGCACTTGAGGTGTTTGTCACGGTCCCTCTTCCTCCCAGATGCTGACGCTCTTTTTAGCGGAGCGACCCTGGTCCCTCCCACCACTGTCGGTTCCAGTTGTGTGCATCTTTGCTTCAACATCCGCAGGAGATCCCTCCTTTGGCTGCCACGCTCCCATCCCACATCACAAAGGTGCCCTTGGCTAGCTTTCTTTCCCCTCAGGCTCGCCACGTTGGCTGCTGTCGCTGTGTTCATTCTCTCTAACTTTACATCCTGATGGTCCTGAGACAGGTGGTCTGGGAGGAAAGACTGACTGGTGCAGGGGGGCATGGGTGGAGCAGTCAGGGACCCTCACCTCTGTGCCAAGCCTGTTCTTTTTTTTTTTTTGCTTTTTGGGTTTTTCCAGTATGGGGGTCACGGGCTGGAGTGATAGCACAGCAGGTAGGGCATCTGCCTTGCACACAGCCGACACGGGTTCGATTTCTCCATCCCTCTTGGGAGAGCGCGGCAAGCTACCGAGAGTATTTCACCCGCACGGCAAAGCCTGGCAAGCTCCCCGTGACGTATTCGATATGCCAAAAACAGTAACAAGTCTCACAACTTGTTGAGACTGTTACTGGTGCCCGCTCGAGTAAATCAATAAACAACAGGAGGACAGTGCACCAGTGCTACATTGCTACAGTGCTTTTTGGGTCACACCTGGCGATGCACTGGGGTTGCTCCTGGCTCATGCACTCAGGAATTACTCCTGGCAGTGCTCGGGGGACCATATGGGATGCTGGGAATCAAACCCAGGTCGGCCGCGTGCAAGGCAACGCCCTACCCGCTGTACTATCACACTCCAGCCCCCTCCTGCTATTTTTAAAATGCAACTTGCCGCTACTTCACTGAATTGCTCTTGTGAGCAAATTCCAGACCTGCTCAAAGTGATAATCAGGTTCCTCAATTCACGTGGCAAGATCATCATCAGAGCACTCAAAAGCAAGCTGGGTGAACTTTTCTTAGGGACCCTAGCAACCTGCTTGGAGTCAGACCACAGACCCAGTGTGGGCAACACCATGGCCCAGGGGTGCTTGGAGCCATCCAGGGAGGTACTTCTTGTTGTTTTCTGATTTTTCCAATAGTGCCGTGCTGAGTGCTTTTGAATAGTACAGTGGGTAGGGCATTTGCCTTGCACATGGCCAACCTGGATTTGATTCCTCCGCCCCTCTTGGAGAGCCTGGCAAGCTACCCCGAGGGTATCCCGCCCGCATGGCAGAGCCTAGCAAGCTCCCTGTGGTGTATTCAATATGCCAAAAATGGTAACAAGTCTCACAATTTGTTGAGACGTTACTGGTGCCCGCTCGAGCAAATCGATGAACAACGGGAGGACAGTGATACAGTGCTACAGTGCTCTGACAAGGGAGCGCCAGGCTCCAGTGGGGGCGCCGGCCTCTCCACACCCACCTTGCAGCTTCTGGTTCTCCTTCTCCATCCGCAGCAGCAGGATCTGCTGCAGGATTGCCTTTCGCCACAGCTCCCGGAGCTCGCGCGACGTCCTCCTCTTCTCCTCGGGGACAGGCCTGAAGGGTCCGTCCTCGCACACCGGCTCCAGGGGAGACCGTGGTGGGAGCTCACCCAGCTCTGAGTACTCTGGGGAAGGCAAAGGGATACTTTAGCAGGCTCATTCCGTCTGGCATTTAATGGACATCTCTCGTGGGAGCCGGCGTCACCTGGGAAGATCACCCTCCTGCATACATGGACGTGGGCTACCCCCAAGTTAAAGTGTCATGTGTTAACATGCACTGCAATTAACCAGGCCTGGGCCATAATTATCTGCCCCCATATGGACATACATACTTATAGGGGTTGCATTGGAAGGTGTGCGGGGTCGGGGCCAGGTGATGTCAAGGATCAAATGCCAGGGCCCTGCATGTGCCAGGCATGTGCCCGACTTCAGCTATCCCCCTGGAACCTTAAAGTGTATATACTTAGAGGGGAAAGGATCGGAGCCATACCCAGTGATGCTCAGGGATCACTCCTGGCAGTGCTTAGGGGACCATATGAAGTGCCAAGGATTGAATCACAGTCAGCTGTGGGCAAGACAGATGCAGAAACCCCTGGATGACTTCCCGGTCCTTGAGGTGGCTATTTTCATCTTTTGAGTTAAGGACTATTGCTGATAATCACAGCGAGCACTCACACAGTACCTTGCTATGGGTCAGACTGTGCCAACGGCGTTAATTAACCCGCAATTACTGTAAGACACAAGAACTGTGACTTTTACAGAAAACCAAACTGAAGCACGGGGAACCTCAGCAACTTGCTCAATACCCACAGCAAGAAAACTAAAACTGAGCGAGGACTGGGACCCAGGCTGCTTGGCTTTTCAAATGCCCACTCAATCTCTTTTTCAATCTGTCAAAGGCAACCATCCGTGGTCATAAGAACGCACACAGCATTTTCTTAGGAAATGCTCTGTGAGGGGCCCCAGGTCAACTTCTCATAGGACCACAGTGTGAGGGCGATGCTTCCTCTAGAAAACTCCAGTATGAATAGGAAAGAACCATACACCGAGACCAACAGAACAAAGAATCACGCAACACAAACCGGAAAAAGAAAAAGAAAGATGCAAACAGTGTGCTGAAGGCGAGGTCAGGACTCTGAACCCGTGGAGCTCATTTCAAGGGAACAGTGTCAGGAGGAACCACGTGTCTTTCAGCAGGAACAGAAAGGATCCCACGGGCTTCAGAGTCCCCAGGGTAAGAGTTTATTTTAGCGGGGAAGGCCCTTGCCTTGCATGCAGTCAACCCAGTTCCAATCCCTGGCACTGAATAGACATGGTCCCCTGTGCACCTCTAGGAATGATCCTGAACACAGAGCCAAGAGTCAACCCTGAGCACCCCTGGGTGCCCCCCTTCACACTCACACAAATGAAAGATCTTATTTTGCTCCTAGTGGTGCTCAGGAGCCTTGGTTCAGAACTGGGGTCCCCTCCAGAGATGCTCAGGGGTCAATTGAACTCAGGGCATGCCAAGTATACACCTCAGTCCCTTTGAGCCATCTCTCCTAGCCCAATTTATTTTATTTTATTTATTTATTTTGATGGCTTACTCCTGGCTCTGCGCTCTGGGATCACTCCTGATGGGGCTTGGAGGGCCTTCTGTGGGGCTGGGGCTGACCCCGGGTGGGCCGCGTGCAGTGCAAGCACATTCCCCTCCACACGATTCCTCTGGCCCAGGCCCCTACAAATTTTGTTTTGTTGTTTTTATAATTTTTTAGTTTTTTTAATGAATCGCTGTGAGGTACAGTTACAGACTTACAAACGTTCATACTAATGTTTCAGTCATACAGTAACCGAGTACTCATCCCTCCACCAGTGCCCATTCTCCACCACCAAAGTTCCCAGTATCCCTCCTGCCACCCCCCCACCACCACCCCACCTCTGTGGCACGTGCATTCCTTTTTATTCTCTCTCTTTCTCTCCTCTTGGGTGTTATGGTTTGCAATACAGGTACTAAGTGGCCATCATGTTTGGTCCATAGTCTACTTTCAGCACACATCTCTCCTCCTGAGCGATCCCTCCAAACATCCTTTACTTGGTGTTCCCTTCTCTTTCTTTTTCTTTTTTTTTTTTTTTGTTTTGCTTTTTGGGTCACACCCGGCAACTCACAGGGGTTTACTCCTGGTTCATGCACTCAGGAATTACTCTTGGCAGTGCTCGGAGGACCATATGGGATGCTGGGAATCGAACCTGGGTCAGCTGCGTGCAAGGCAAACGCCCTGCCCGCTGTGCTATTTCTTCAGCCCGTCCCTTCTCTTTCTGAGCTGCCTTTTCCCCCAGCATGTGAGGCCGCTTCCGAGTCATGGAGCAATCCTCCTGGTCCTTATCTCTACTATCCTCCCCTGACAAATTTTGACTTAGCAGTTCTGATCCTCCTCTTTTTTTTTTCAAGTCAATTTTATTTATTTTTTATTTATTTTTTGCTTTTTTGGGTCTCACCCGGCGATGCTCGGGTGGAGTGATAGCACAGCGGTAGGGCGTTCGCCTTACAAGCGGCCAACATGGCCGACCCGAGTTCGATTCCTCCGCCCCTCGATTCCTCCGCCCCTCTCGGAGAGCCCGGCAAGCTACTGAGAGTATTCGATATGCCAAACACAGTAACAACAAAATCTCCAATGGAGATGTTACTGGGCCCGCTCGAGCAAATCGACGATCAACGGGAGGGCCTTTACCTTTACCTTTTACCTTTACCCGGCGATGCTCAGGGGTTACTCCTGGCTTATGCACTCAGGAATTACTCCTGGCGGTGCTCGGGGGACCATATGAGATGCTGGGAATCGAACCTGGGTTGGCTGCGTGCAAGGCAAACACCCTACCCGCTGTGCTATCGCTCCAGGCCCCTGATCCTTCTCTTGTTTTCAGGGGCTGCCCTTGCCTCCAGCCGGCCATCCTCTGCTAAACTGTCACCAGCTAAGACTGGCCACCGTCCGCTTCCAGAGCATCCCCGGGAGCACCGGAACAGGCAAGTGCCCTCTGAGCACAGCCAAAGGTCCGAACCTCCCCCCCACCCCCCCACCCCCAGAGAATGGGCAAGTGACTGAAGGGGCCAGGTGAGAGCGCCCATCAGGAAAACCAGCAGTTGGACAGCAGATGAGCCAGTCTGATCACCGGAAAGAGAAGGTTCTGTGGCTATGATGACTGTGACTCCCACCCAGTCTTCCAGTCTGCCCGACCGGGGAGGATAGCACAGCTACTTCCAAAGCACCCACCTTGCTTGTGGGGCTCCCTGAGAACAGAAGACTTTCAATTCCAAACAGGCTATTTGGGTTTTCTGTTCTGTTGTGTCTTTGGGCCACACCCGGCGCGACTCGAGGCTTACTCCTGGCAGCCTTACACGCGTGAGGCTGTGCCCTCTCTCCGGCTCCCACTCAGGCTATTTATAGGAGCGGGACACACAGTGGAACTTCTGGTCTGCGGCCGGAGCTGGCCACCTCAGCAAGGAGACATCAGCTGTCAAGCACAGTCCGAGGGGGCCTGGACCGGAGGATGTTGGGTGAAGGGAGGCCTCGGGGAGCCTCATGGACAGTGGCACACCCCTGGGGATCTGGGCGAGGACGAGGCTCAGCACCCAGGTTCTCCACTACGGCCAGGAAGCTTTGAGCAGACTCCAGATGTCGGCCAGTTAAGACAGAGAAGGATTGATAGTATGGTAGTTGGAAATAGTCGCTTTGGACAAGAACTGAGTGCTGGAAGGAGGTAAAGGGAGATGCATGATAACCCCTCATTATCTGTATGGCGAACCATAATGCCCAAAGGCGGGGGGGGCGGGGTGAGGGGTGGGGGAGGAGAGGGAGAGAGAGTAAAGTGCCTGCCATGGTGGGGGCGGGGGGGGGGGGGCGAAGGGGCAGAGTAGGGGGACGGAAGGGAAACTGGGGTCACTGGTGCTTGGAAATGCACACTGGTGAAAGCACGGTTGTTGGAACACTGTATCACTGAAACCCAATCATGAACGGGTTTGTAACTGTATCTCATGGTGATTCAGTTTAAAAAAAATTTTTTTTTAAAGAAAGAAAGGCAAAGTCTGCCAGAGTCATCATCCTGGGGTCTAAGGAGCTCTGTGTGACCACTGGGCACTTGTGACAAACAGCACAACCTGGAGACACTGAAAAACACCCACGGCCACTTGTATGTCTTCTTTGAAGAAGCTCCTGTTCGTCTCTTCTCTCCCTCCCTCATTCTGCCTGCCACAGGGCAGGCTGGCTGGGGTTGGGGGGAAACTGGGGACAAGGGTGGAGGGTAGAGGGCACCATGAAGGAACTGGTGTCGGAACAACAGATGCAATTATAAATATTCTTGTAACTTTGTAATTCATGGTTGTAGGATGACATTGTTTTGTCCTTCCTCCACAAGGAGCTTAGGTTTATCAGGTTATACCCATCACAGTGCTCCTGAGGCACTTCCATTCCATTGTGTTTATCTGTAAATTCTTCCCTATGCTCCCATCCCCAACCCCCAACCAGTTAATCAGCTTTCCCCCTAATCAGACTCTGTTAACTTGTAAAGGTTAGATTCCTCAGAAATCTATGATTTTATATGTATGAGTGAAATATTGCCTTTCTCCTCTCCTTATGCCTCATGAACAGTTTACTTTAAAGCAATGCCCTTTTTGTATGGATACAGGAAGACTGTTAACATTATGCTTTGTAACTTAGGATTTAATTGGCTTTGAATATTATTCACTCCCGGGCATCTGCTTTCTCGACTTAAGCCTCAGTTGCCCTTAGTTCCTAACACCCCAAAAGCAGGGTCCCGACTGAATGGGACCCAGGGCAAGTGGTGAACTACCTGGCATCGAAATGGGCCAGGCCAAAGTGCCACGATTCTTAACTATAAGTTAAGAGTTTGATCATAGACAAATGCTGTCATGATCCAAAAGTAACGGCGAGACTAGGATCCTGCTAGGGGTGGGAAAGACTATCTGGCCCGAGCACTGTAGTCTGAGATCGAGATGGCCCTAGGAGAACAATTCTATAAGTTTAAGATATTTCTTACTGTATCCATACAAAATGATTTATATTATATATGCTTATATGCTTGCTGGACAAGGAGGGGAGAGACACACCCATGGGATTCCGCTCTAGGCTGGGTC